TGCCCTGTATGTGTTAATGATGCTTGATTTTAGTATTTCTTTTTTGTCTTTTTTTTTATATTATTATTACAAAGGATTTTATGTTTTAAGTCATTTTGCCAATTAAAACTTTTGGGTAGTCATTTTGCAAATAAAGAAACCTCTTTATGTCATTTTTGCAATCAGCTCTTATTAGAATCACAAGAAAGGTTGCTCCTTATACTTTTCTACAAAAGCAGACAGATATATGGACATATGTACTCAACATGGTATATATTTCAACCCAGTGGAGCCTTTGAAAAAGAGTAGTCTTAAACTGTCCAAACTCACTACCGTTCCCTTGAACAGGAACAATTGACAAACATATTATAGCCAATAAAATATAATTCACGAAAAGAGCCCATACATACATATATATATATATATATATATATATGGAAAAAACTGTATTTTCACGTAACATATATATTTATTCAACATAATATTAACATTGTTGAGATATAACAATAGATTTGAATAACTTCTTAGTGTTGTGTACTTTTAATGTTAGTGTTACGTTTTCACCTATATGTTACATGAAAGTACGGTTTTTTTACGGTCGTTTTGAGAGAACATCAACAAAGTATATATAATTACATACATAAATAATCATATATATATAATTTGTCTTATATATGATTATATATATAGCGAGAGATAATTAAGAACAAAAGAGTAGTTATCCAAGTGTGACTCAGTTAGTTAATCCATCGTAGGACTGCAATGCATCTAGCAGCATAAACCAACATAAGTCCACAGATCAAGTGGGGGCCACAAGGTGGACAGTGAGGCCCCACTTGCATGTGGTTTCTAATGTACAAAATGGACGACAATTAAGCAGACGTGTATAGAAAGAGGTCTAATATGATTAATACATAAACTAATGATAATCATCAAAAGAAAACACTCACAAATTATACCTAATTTGTCAGTTCAATTGTCTGCTATCTTGGACCCTCCCAGTTCATTGGTAAGGCCCCCCCCAAAAAAAAAGCAATATATATCACTAGCTATAGCTAGATTTCATTGCTGAAGAACATGCCACTTTTTTGTTATTTTGAGTCTTACTTCTTTTTCAATGGTATCTAAAGGAAAATCTTTAATAATAGTGTTAGAATGGTGTCTTAAAATATAAAATGTAATAAGATAATTATTATTAATTTAATAAAAAAGTGTATTCATTATTTTATATGCATATATTATTAAATATTTTATAAATATCACTGAAAATTCTGTGATTATTTATATGGCCTTAAATATTATATATAAATGTTATATGTGAAAGGATAATACTTAAGGATAATAATCAAAATGATGTTCGTAATGAATTTAATTAAAGTTTAGAATCTTTAATTAAAACATTACTAATACGTGTTATTCCCATTTAGAATGAAAATGTGTTATTCGCACTATTAATATGACGAGATATTGAATGGGTGTATTACGCATAATGAGATTGTGTGGAATCGGGACACAAACGCAATATAAATTTCTGATAATTTCCGTTAAGTATAGAAATTTTAATTGAAACTACCGATGGTCATATATAGAATGATCTTAATCCTCAGTTATTAACAGATCTCTATTTATAGATTTATGTTTTTTAATTTATTCGGTACGGATTTCAAGATGTTGAATCATATTCCTTGTATTTTAGAGATATGATGAAGTGAGTAGCTGAAAATGTTAATACACCAGATGGAATCCATTCCTTCTTGAGAAAGAAGCAGATAAATAATTCTCTTGAGGATTGATTCAGTACTTGGACTAGTAGGAGCTCCAATTCATAAATTTATTTTATGAATCACTGTTCATTAGAGAATCAATGATATTAAAGGATAATTATGCAATGAGAGAGGTTAGCGGATTTCACCTAGCTCTAATTATGAATTATTTATAGAGGATTGATCTATATGTAATGACTATATCAAATAGGGCCGGTAATATAGGTCACGACACGACAACACGACACGAATTTCGCGGGTTAGGGTTGAGAAAAAAGGGTTCAGGTCAGAATTGGGTCGACTTGAAATTGACATGAAAAACACTGGTCAATTTCGGGTTGGACCCGCCTAACCGGAACATGACACGAAGCTCATAAAAAACTAAAAAATACATATATTTTTCATTACCTATTTTTGATTTTATTATGAACTTGTGATCTCATGATAGTTATACTCAAAATCTTTTACTATTATTTGCTTAATTTCAATGGATGTTATTGTATTTTAGTGTGTTATGAATTTTAAGTTATTTCTAATATGTAAAAAATTAAATAAAAGTATACAATTTTCATGTCAATTTCGGGTTCACAGGTCATTTTCGTGTTGTGTCGTGTGAACCCGTAAAGTGGTCGTGTCGTGTTCGTGTTGCGGTTTTTAAAAAATTTTGTGTCATGGATCGTGTTCGGGTTGACTGTAAATTTAGAAAGAAACGATCAAAACACGACACGTGACACGAATTGCCACCCCTAATATCAAATGAATGCGTCACAGTTTAGAAGTAATTTATATCTATAATTATGAGAGTGTAATTCTAAGTTTATAGTAGAGTAACTTTTAGAATTAATAGAATTAATTAATTAATTAAAGAGTTTTTATTAATTATTAATTTTATTGGAGCTCAGAATTATAGGTTCATGAGTCCCCGCGTCGTCCTTGTAATCCTACGAGACACTAAGGGAAAAATGAGAATTTTAGAATTATGGAATTCTAAATAAAATGCTCAATAATAATTAATTGAGAATTACTTATAAATTAAAAATAATGTGATTATTTAAATTTAAATTTTAGAACACATATATGGAGGTGTTCACATAGTGTACACCCCAGCACAGTGTGAATCCCTCTGAGATTCAGTTGCTTGCTCTCTAAGTTATCCAATTTACTTATTTGATAAGTTGTATCCAATTGAAATTCAAATTAAATTAAGTTTGACTTAAATTAGAATTTAAAGTTGAGTCAAAATTAGACTACAGGATAAATAAGTTTTTTTTCTCCTTCCCTATCTGCTATTTGCGCCTACCACAGGGAGGAATATCCCTATGGTGGCCGTCCCTATAAGATAAGGGAGAGAGGGAATTTTGTTTTCAAAATCAATTAGAAGTGAGAGATAATTATTAAACTTTATCTTGGAGATAAAGTTTAGACTTCTTATGTGAGTTTGATTGCTACTCTATAAATAGGAGATTGTAGGAAATTGGAGAACATAATTTTTTTCTTTCCGTAGCATAGTGTGGCCAGTTTATAGAGTGAGAAAAGAAAATTTTTCTTCCAAAATTTCACATCGTGCATGTGTTGGTGTTCATGGAAAACTTGAGTGTTTTCTTGCTAATTCTATTTTATTTCAGGTGTGCCCCCACACACGTCTTCATAGATTTAAGGAATTGACGCGGAAGATTCGGGTATTCTAAACAAGCTTAGAATAAGGAGTGTTCGTGGTAAAAAAACTCAAGTTATCGACCTAATCGTTCGCTAGGTAAATAAATTAATTTAATTAATTTATTCGTGCATAAATTAATATAATCTATAGAGTATCTCAAAAGTTTATAAAATTTTTTATTATATACGATCTGCTAGATACACATTTCCACATAAAAAATCGTTTTCATAGTAGTCCGGATTGCTCTTTTATGAGAAATTGACATAGCAAAAGTGACATATATTTGTGGCAAACAAGGGGTGCGTTTATATTTGATCCTTTCAATCCGCTTCCCCGGTTTATCAGCATTCTTTCTTTCTAGTTTTTTTTTTTTTTTTGCTTTTTCATTTTTTAATTTATCAATCTCTCCTTCTTTCTTAGATAATTAACCGGTTAATAAAACTTTGCCAAATGCCAAGGAACCGCAAAATTGAAGGGTTTATTGCTTATTAAAGTCATAAAAAGCAGCCATTTATACGTATATATACCTACCTATATTATACCACCAATATAATAGCATGCAGCAACTTGGAATATATTGCTACCAAAAAGAAAATTGGAATTATATTATATATAGAATTACGTCATATGTGTCATGACAAAAAAAACAAGGTTACGTATGCCATGCAATGGTTCAAAAAGTTAGATGTGTAATGGGATGGATGTGTTTAGCCGTGTCTTTTAGCTTTGTTCCCTTGTATTGAATATTTTTTCATGCCTTTTCAACTTGGGTATTTTACACCTTTGCCTTCTAAATTTGTAGAGACTTGACAATTTATCCTTTAAATTTTTAATTTTGACAATTTATCTCTTTAATTAATTACAAAATAATTGCAAATTAACCCTTTTTTCATAATTTTTATTAGATTTAAGCGATTAATAGTCAAGAAAATATAAATTTGCGTACAATTTGAATTGAGACGTTTAAATTTTTCATTAAAAATGTTTTTTACTCATCAATTTAACACAATCACGACTAAATAGAGCACGTTGCAACTGTTTTATAAGTTAGGGAATAAATTACCAAAATTAAAAATAACAGAGTAAATTGTCAAAACGCTACAAGTTCAAAAATAAATGTGTAAAATACCTGCGTAGCATCTATAGTTTGACCACAAAAAGCGATCTATAGCAAGACTAATATGCAGATTGACTATTATACGTACAATAGTAATGCATGTTATCACCATCAAGTAGTTAATGAACCGCTAATCATGATAAGGTTATCTAAAACTAGTTGTGACAATTGATATTACCAGCTATATTTAGCTTTTCTTTTCTTTTCTTTTTTTGAATTTAATACCCCCATTTTGTATTTTCTGTTCTATACGCAAGTTCACTTATTGGTCATTTATTTTCTTCCTTAATTATCGTTCTTCATTCTCATCCAAAACTTGGAAATTCAGATACATGAACGTTATCACAAAGCGTGACTAAGGAAACAGGGAATTAAATTTCGTAATGAACTCTTCCAATTATAACAGTTAATCTCTCAGCGGCCACAGATGCAACGCTAAGGAAAACTGTACAAGTGAAATAATAAAAATAATAATAATAAAAGTATACAATAATCTCTGAGAAAATCAATCTCAGGCCAAAAAGAAAGAAAGAAAAAAAAATCTCTTGAGAGATTAGAAGTAGTACTGGTGAGGACCACAAGTGGCAAATGGAAGATCAATATCATATACTGATATACATATCAATAGTGTTAAGTACAAGAAAAAAAGATCAAAAAGAAAGAAAGAGAGGAGAAAAAAAATGAAGCTAATTATTATAATGGGAAATTTCTTTCCTTTTTCATCTTATCATGGCCGTTAGATTGCGAAAAACGACTTCTTCGCAAGGAATCGTTATGCCCATGTCATGATCAAATCCAAACTCCTCTTCTGCCCTTTGAAGGAGGCTTTGGAACTCAGGATGAGCAAGCCATGAAATGGGGACAATATATCTGCTTCTGTTTTGGCCAACATAAACAGCAAAATGACCTTTTGGGACATCATCAGGAATAAGTCCTTGTTCATTGTAGCCATTTTTCTTCCCAAAGCTTGAACACCTTTTGAGGATTTGCTTCAATACAGCAGTTTGTGCTAGCTTGTTGGACTTTTTTGTACCCATTTTTTTTGTTTATTTGTTTGTTTTTGTTTTGGTGTGCTTTTTAGAGGGACTTTGTAATGGGAGAATTTGAGAGAATTGTGTACTAGTATATGAGAGTACTTAAGGTGGTGGTGGTGGGGGAGGATTGAAGATGTGAAGAGGGTATTTATGGGGGAGAAATTATAAGAAGAGAAAGCAAAGTCATGTGGGGTGTGGGGTCCAAAAAAAAAAAAAAGACCAAATAATTGTTTATGAGAGGCAACTTTGTACAAGCCCATGCAATTCTTCTCCAAACCAGTTAGGGTTTGCCCTACCCCTGTAGCTTCCTACTAGAACAACATGGGGCCCTATCTCCCCCTTTCTTTCACCATGTTTATCAATCGTATTTTGTCAGTACATGTACGTAGCCTGCCGCTATAAAGTGGTTGGATGCTCGCAACAAAAGTACCTACGAGCAATTAGTTCGTAGCGAAATGACTAATCTTACGTCTCTACGTACACTTAATATATGATCATTTTTACTGTTTGTCATGTCATGTATGATGCTTAGTAATAGTAGTATCTCTCGATGTTATATTTCTTATCAAGTGACGATAAAAAAGGATGTGGTTTTGGGAATTTGTTTAGAAAATGACATGTATGTAGCATACTAGCATGTTGTTCTAAGGGGGATGGGAATTTGCAACACAAGTTAGGACTAATTTGAGTTTTTCTATTTATACGTGATAGTTTTAAGTATATGTCACCTTATGTAATATGCATTGCTTACTAATTTTAGTCTCCTTCGCTTATTTTTCCAAGAGACAATTAAAAAGTTGTGATTCAAATTGGTCTTGAAAATTAAATTTGAAAAAAAAAATTCGTTTAGAAGCCTATTTTGCATTTCAAAAATTCCGTGTGGTGTCCTTTACTAGTGTAATCAAATTAGAGAGTGCCTCTTAGTAGGAGTGGTGAGTAAGGTCTGAGAATGCAACTTTTTTTTTATGTATTTGTCACGTCAAGCAGTAATTAAAAGAGATGATTTGTTTTTTCTTCTTTTTTTTTTTAAAAAAAATTCTTGTATCATTTTTATTTCTTGTTATTGTAAAGAGAATGCAATGATTCATGATCCATCCTTCTGTCACTCTATAACTCTGTTCAAAGAGTAGAAGGGACAGATTGGAATCCAAGAGTAGCTAAAACGACACTAAAATCCAAGCTTGCTTGGTGAATGCAAGCCAAGGAGTAAAGAGAAATAACTACCAAAACGCATATTCAATACTACAAAAGCTGGAACGCCATTAATAAACCAGTCTCTGCAGTTCAACTATAAATGGATCGCCAGCCTAGCAAAGTCCTGCTGATCATGAATCTAGCAGAAAAACCAAGATATGGAGGATCACTTTCGACGAGGAAAGTGGTCCAAAATAGTGGAACATTTTAGTTACGTTAGTGTTTTCAGCACCGTCTAGGAAAAAAAATGGGGATATGTTGTGGTTTTGACTGAGGACCACAAAATTAATGACAATATATCTCACGTCCCATTATAAGAAAAAAAAAATGTTTGGGGCACCATTAGTATTTGTACGTGCTCAACACCACCAATATCCTATAATATCTGGGCTCACAATGCATAAGTTGGGACTTAATCTTTATAAATAGTGTATTTATATACAGAGCCAGAGCAAAGATTATAAAAAGTAAAAATAAAGGTTAAATCTAGCGTATTTCCAAACAAAAGTATAAAAAGCACTGCTCTTTCCTTCCATTCTCCTGTTTAACATGGGAGACACATTGCTAACTTTGATCATTCTTTGCTCCCTTCCAACCAATACGTTTAATGTAAAACAAAATAGAGGGTAATGATGTAAGGAACTACAGGACTTGGAATTGGAAGCATATACATTTAATCTGTGAGATTGAACAATGTAGGAAAGTTTCAGATAATTGTCAGGAAGGTTTTTTCTTGCTCCAGCAAGTTATGAGATGTCTCAGCAATGAAGAACTACCCATGTGGACAAAACCCAAAACTACAACTGTCAATATACGAGAAGTTACAGAAAAATGCCCGTTTTGTTCCCGCGTTTAAGTCAGTGATACTGATTGAGCTATTGGTGAAAAATTTATAAATTTATATATTAGAATCATAAGTTAAAATACATTTGTCAAACATATCATATGGAAGGTTTATCCATCCATTACAGCTTTACACAGTCCCATTAACAACTCAATTACAACTTCTCATCCTTTGTTTTCATCACATCCAATATTAACCCAAAATTCAACTCATATTTGGTTTCCGAACTATAAGTCAAAGTTCATTTACTTTTAAAACGACCCAAGATAAATTCTCGATTTACTAAATTATCCACTAATTTCTTTTGTCCACCGGCTGTTAAAATCTCAACAAAAAAAAAAAGACAACTTCCTTTCTAATAATCGTTTTTTAACATGGAATGATGTAAAATATTTTATTCTCTAATAACATTTTCTCCCTTGTAAATCGATCACGAGTTTGTAAAAGATTTTGAACAATGTTGACACTAGGGAACGGGACCTTGTAAATAGTATTAGAAAATATCAGCTTAGTTCAGATTTTTCCGGTTGAAAATTCACCCAAAAAAAAAAAAAGGGAAAAACATGATGGAGAATTCGAAGGGATGGTACATGGATATGGCTTTCCATCTTCTTTCTACAAATGTGGATAACAAATGGAAGATGGAAACTCAGAGGATAACCCATCATTGTCATCATAATTTCCGATAAACAAAACGCATTTTCTTTTTGTAGATGTTGACCCTGTAAAGTAATCAACATGTGACGGCCACGTTACTCTTGTGACCTGTCTTGAGAAAGCTTTATAAAGACAAACTCGCAAGAGGCTGCAAAAATAAGCCTGCAATAATACGCCATCGCAAACTAACCATCTCAAACTATTCTTGATCTTGACATTCTCCGCGTACCTCGTCCTGCAATAATTTTACGCAGTCAAATTTGGCGGTGGTATTCAATTCATAGCTAATACGATGGATACATAGAAAGATGCTAAATCAAGCTTGGTTTCGTTATTAGTATGTTAAGCGTATAGAAGAGAGGATTGGCGATGGTGATGCCTACAAAGACAGGTATGGTTTATACTTAATACTTCGTTACACCCATGTGCACTGTGCAGGAGACAAGTCAAGATGCTAATTTTCCCAACTGAGGAGGAAAAGAAAGGCAAAGAGCAACCAAGACAAATGGGCAAACTTGGTTATCTAACATTTTCAAGGATTATTAAAGGTTGTAGAGGAAGCTTAGGGCACGTTTTCTTCATATACTCAAACTCAAATCATTTATTCTACTGCAGTATTTTTCTCTAACAAAAAATTTAAATTTCACACGTCAGAATCAAGAATATGATTTGAATATACCTTCCAAACATGCCTTTAATAAGATCTGAATCCCCACTTCAAGAGGCAAATATTTTTCCCAACTCAGAAGGACAACTAAGACAAATAGGCAAACTTGGTAATTCGATCCCTCTCAAGATCACTGAAGGTGGTAGAGGAAGATATATTCACAATGGGATAAGATTCATGAGGAGATTCCTTAGCCACTTCAACAAATGAGATAAAACTTAATCTCAAAAGATAAGTAATGAAGTATGACACCACTTTCAAAAAGAATAGATCATGAAAAAGGCGGCTCTCCCGACCACTTTCATTCTGAAAAAAAAAATCGACAGGACAGCTAAGGTCTAGTAAACAGTGAGCTACTAGTCACATCATATACCATGGGCCTAGAGAAGATAGTTGATAATGAAACAAAAAAAAGATATTTAATAAATGAAAGCAACATGTCAACGTCTAAGGTCCAAGTACAAGCAAAATAGAAGGTTTCAGGATACCTCTAAACTTAAATTTCACGTAGTAGAATATATTTGACAGCAGCAGATTAATGAAAGAGATTACCTGAAAATAAAACACTAATCAGAGAAGAATAACTTTGGTATAATACTATAACCCCAACTCCAATTTCCACAACAAGATGATGCCACTTACTCTGCTGCTCTTTCTTTGGCTGCTAGTTCCAGCTAAGACCAAAAAATTCATTCACTCACGTGATCTTTCAGTTGAAAGATTGCATTGAGCTAACATTTTATGAGCTAACATTTTAGTATAGTGTAAGCTACCAAGCCAATGAAAACGGCTAAAATTATAAAGCATGAAACAGAGAGAGAGAGAGAGAATTTTCAATCCCATCATCATTTTGAACAAATGAAGGGGAAAGAGAGCCCGTTTAGTTTGTTGATTTGAGTTTTAATTTGAGTTGAGATGTGACTTTATATGAGAGCTTTTTACTGTAGTAAAAAAGTTAAATGTGACTTTCTGGAAACTTTTTACTGTAGCAAAACTCGAATTTTAAACTCAAATCGGTAAAATGAACGGGGCCTAAATTCATTCCTCTAATACTTTTTTCCTCAAAAGGACATGTTAAAAGAAACATGCACTGATGCACATATAAGAGAGGTTGATGTCATACACATAATTAACAGTTGTTGCTCATACACTAATCTGCACTTAGCTCTAAAAGCGACACCAAAAGAAAATAAATATGGCCATTGGCCAAAATGGATAGTTCCAAACCTAAGCTAACATGTGTGATCTCATCTAAGAATCATTAGCACGAACATTCATGATTTACACTGGTCAGAAAACTTGGAATATTGTTCTACAATGTTCATGTACTTTCATTCATAACCAGAAGGTGGTTTTGACAGCTGAGGCAGCCCATCCATCACGCTCAACTGTCTTTTCAGCTTAACAATATGAATTTGCACCTACAAGATTGCATACAATGTCAACACAATTATTCTCCACCACTTTTGAGAAATAAATGACATACACGTATATAAGCGCAAAAAATAAAATAAAATAAAATAACAGAAGAAAAAAGATGAAAAAATTTCCAATCACAGGATTAGTATGAGGCAGCACCAGATCAACTATCAATTTAAACAGAGAAAGAGACCAATTTAACCTGTTGACGAGCAGCTGCAAGTTTTAATAGCTCATCTGCCTCTGAGAAGTTCATGAACCACTGAGTAAGTGGGTGATCCTTGGTATCTCCTCTTTCTTTTTCATTAGGATTTTCTGTTGTTACTGCAAAATCCCAATAAAAATTAACTTGAAGCATTCTAAAAGGCAAGTACTCACAAAAACTGCACTGGGTCTGAGAAATTACCAGGGCTAGGCAATGTAAAACCAGCAGGCAAACGAGGCAGGACAAGAGAGGGATGATTCTGCACGCGGGCCAAAAGTGCTTCTGAAGGATCGGGAAAAACAATCTCATTGTAGGATTCCACAACAACAGGTTTCTTAGTTGACTGGGGTCCAGATTCATCCTCAGGATATAATTTCAGATGGTGAAACCTGCAAGTGTTTGTAAAGCTCCAATTATATCTAACTGCCACCTCAAGCAAAATCACTACCGAATAATATGTTTCAACTCTCAAGAATTATCCAAACTGAAATACAACTTTTGTATAAACCTATAAGAAATGAAAGACATTTGAGACAACTCTTGGGGGAAAAAAATAGCATTACCGAATATCATTTCAAAAATTAAAAAAACTCACAAGTCCACTTGTTTATCACAGATTTCACTGTGGAAAAACAGACTGATGCCAATTTCAAATTCGCCCCAACCACATTCCGTCAGCTCAAATGGTGCCGATTCAAGGACCCTGGTAGGATTATTGAAACTGGGGTGCAACTGAAACACAACTCGCTTTATCACCACCCCGAGATCCTCGTTTGTCGCCCCACGCACGTAAACCGTCCACTTATGAGATTGGGACCTAATTAACAACAGGAACAAAAGGAAAACACAGTATTTAAGAACTAGTCAAATACATGGCACACATTAGAACAACAGGGAACCTCATAACAAGAGAACACTTACTCACTGGCCTTTCTGCCTAGATAGAACGCGATTGTTCCATATACAATTGGAACACAAACTTCAGCATCTTTAAGTCTCTTGTTTGCACTCTATCCCAAAAAGAAAAGGAAAAAAAAAAAAAAAAAAAACCAAAAAAATAAATAAATAGAGAGGAAAAAAATGAAAAAAATAAACTATAAACAAAAAAACTGTCTAGATTACAGCTAAACAAAGTTTCCTCTTCTTCTAACATCATTGTTATGGATTTAGAACAAACAATATACTGAAAAAAATGACAGATATGACTATGATTCGCCAGAAAAATTCAAAATTCATGGACCTGAAAGCTAAAATCGAAGTAAATAGAACTATTCAACGATAAATTCACAACATTTTCAAGCTTCCTAGTTATTGAATCATAAAGCCCAGGTTTTTTTTTCTTCTTTTTTATTCCTTTCAGTCACTTGCATGGCATCCAAGCAAAAGAAATTGCGGAATTCGAAATTTTGGGGTTGTTTGGGATCCGAGAAAATTGTAATAGCCATTACCTTCTTGTCGTTATCTTCGGCAGATTTGTGGATTTTGACAGGCTGTAAGACTGGCACAGAGGAGGCATCGTCAGGTTGTGTTTCGCCTGATTTTCTTGCCGACATTTTTGGGGGAAATTCGAGCTTTTTTTTTTTTTGCTAGTTGGGGAAATTCGAGCTTATCAGTCTACTCTTCAGTACTGAGCAAAGCAATGCGAAACCAGAATTCCACGCACAGAGAGAATTGCGATTTTCATTTGGGGATTTTAAATTTTCTCACAAGTTGCTAAACTTTCGAAGATGAGTAAAAGGATAAATGATTCACACTCCGTTTGGTAAAAGGGAAGGAAAAGAGAACGGAAAGAAAACACGTAAAAGAAAAAAATGTGAAGGAAATAAAAGTTGATTTTCTGGTGGGAAAGAAAATATGTAATAAGTTCAATAATTATTTTATTAATTAGTTGATGTTAATTGAGCTTTAAAATTGGGATAAAAAAAAAGTTATTTTAGTTTTCAATAGGTGAATTTTAATTTTCTACCCAATGTTAAAGAGAGAAAATTGACAGGCCTTACAGCAGCTTTTATTTACTTTTTTTTTCTTTTTCTTTTTCTTTTCTTTCCTACCAAACAACTCATTAATTATTTTCTACCCAATAATCCCTCCACTCACTTCCTTTCTTCCTCTTTTTTATTATACTAAACATGGCATTTGGGCTTTAATTTTATTATTATTATTATTATACTTTTAATATAGGATATATCTATTATTTACAACTAGTAATAGCAACCATTATTTTAATTATTAAATTAAGATTTTAAGCATCTGATTTAATGTCTACGTTGTAAATCTACATCATATGCGAACTGCTACAGTCATATAAATGTTAAAACAGCAATAGACAGGTCCTATCATAAAAATTCTATTATTATTATTTTTGACACATGGCTAATAGCTGCAATAATAATAATAATAATAATAATAATAATAAGCGCTGTAATTCATTTCTTTATGTAATTGACCCTCTAACTGAGTAAAAGTGCATAAAAATAATTTACAAGTACACCAATGTATTTTCACTGCATTTTGAATAGGACTTTTTTTAAAATTTTTTTTTTTTTAAACACATACAGACACATCGATACACTAATGAAATTTTATATCCCTTTGAAAAATATAAATTATCCTTCTTTCAAAAGCATATAGTTATTTAAGATTCCAAGTGGCCTAAGGATAATTTCATACACATTCCCCCAAACTTAAAACGCAAAGGCATTACTTTCTTTCAAACTAAAATCTTAGCATTTTAGCTCAAGGGAAAGGTAATTTGCACATAGAACTGAAGCGCAAATTTTCCCTCACTTCACTGCTTCCATTTTGTATAATAAACTTTGCAATAACACCCCTTTAGATGCCATCAAAGAAGCGTTTAATTTAGGTCTCCAAATTTTGGCATCTCTTTGCTATAAAATAAAACACTCTATTCGAGAAAGCCACAAAGTATCGAAATGACAATGAGACGGCACACAAAATTACTGTAGCAAAGGACATATGAGATTGAACTCTTTAACATACTGATCAACACACCAAGTTTCATTCCAGAAATGTTCCTCTGTGAATTGGTTTAACAACACAGATTGTGGCACTAAATCAATGCATGGGGGATATTCACAATGTTAGAATTTAAAGAAAAAGGCCCAAATTCCGAGAATAGATAAAGCTCGGGGTCTAGAATCACGCAATCCCAGATGTTCTCTCCGGTACATCAACAGGCAAACTTTGACTTGAACCAAAATGATTTTGCAAAGAGGGGCTTCATCAGGCAGCAGGCACGCAGAAGAACAAGACGGGTCCCTCCCGAATTATATGTTCGACGCATTCAATGCCATCACCTTGCACTGCTCATTCATGGCCAGAAGTTGGGCCTCTTTCTTGTCAAGAAGAGCGGTCAGCCTCACGTTTTCTTCCATAAGCTTCTGGACTTCTGCCTCTTTCTGCATTTTTTCACCCTCTAATTGTGTTGTTTTAGCGACTAATCTGCATGGAAGCACAAAAACGAAGGAATAAAACATGAAAACATGCGTACGGAGTTGCAAAAAGAGTCAAGGGCTCGAAGCCTAAAACAGGTGTTCTCAAGTAACTACTGAATTTGGGGCACTTTGTGATGTGGTCTTGGAATTTTGCCCGTCAATGAGACACAATGCAAAGACAAAATAGGACAATAGAAACACCTATGTAGAAAATGCCAGATTAGAAGTGAAAAGTGAATCAAAGCATGTAGCTAGTAACATAACCAACCAAATGTTAAAGGTGAGTGATTTATCATCAAGAGAAAAGTACATAAAGCATTTTATTAAGCAAACGTATATGAAGCATTCAAAATGTATGAAACACGCAACGAGACAAACTGACCGTTCAAATAGCCTCTCAATAGTTTGGAACTGCTTTTCTGATGAAAGGAGTGTTTCCCGTACAGTAATGAGACTGCTGACATACGATTTAAGGGACTCAAATTCCCGCTTCACACGACTCAGCTCCTGTTCGTTTTCCGCAGCTCGTTGCCTCTGTCTAGAGGTTTCTTCAACCAAATCATCAACTCTCTGCCTCATTTCATTTAGAATACTATTTGTACCAAGAGCAAACATTTCCATCTCCTCCAACTTCACAGACATGTTCTCAATTTGAACCGACTTTTTCTTGATCTCTTCCTGGCTTAAGCTTACATTTTCCTTCTCAACTGCAGTTTCAGATTCAGCCAGTAAAACTCTTTTAACAAGAACTTCCATCACATCCGTGACCATCTGCACGGATTTGAGTATTTCACCAATATATGCCACATCTTGCTCATCCAAAGAACCATGTTGCTTTTTTATTTCAATCCAAATCTCTTCATCCGGACCGTCGAAGGAAGAAAGATCAACATTTTTAGACCAAGCAGACAACGGTGCACCGTTTTTGTCAACAAGCCCTATACCTTCTAATTGCTTGATACCACATGACGTATGGGCTAAATGAGGAACAGCCATGAGTCTTGCTTTAGATTTCAAGTACGTCAACAATGTCGCAGTTGTTTTAACTCTCCGCCAAAGAACCTCTAACTCCTTTTTGGACTCTTCCTCAGACTCTTCTATGCAAGCCTTAACCTCTATAAGTTTTGCTTGCAACACGTCCACTTGGGATTGGCGTTGTTCCATTTCCTGCTTCCAGATTTCATGTGTTTGGCATAGCTGCGACTTCAAAGTTGACAAGTCAACATCTTCTCCTGCTGCCATCCCCTGTCCGAAGTTGCGGAAATTTAGTATATTCAAGCAAGTCGATACCAAGAGATAAAAATCCAGCCGGCATATACAACATAAATACTAAATCATTTTAAAAGAGCCTTCAAAATTCTAGCCCATGTGAAGCTCAAAAAAGAGTAATGAGGAGAAAGATGATTCATCATAGCAGTATCAAATCGGTTGAATAGTTCAACAAAATTCCATCTTGCAATAGAAGGCCTAGTGTCTGGTAATAGCAGCTAAAAAGTAATCCCAACTTTTTTTGTCTTCAGAAAATTGATCCCAACTAACTTAATCACACAAGATAATCCCTGTTAATCTTGTTCAAATGCTCAAACCCAACAAAAAAAAAAAAATGCTATTACACAATTCTAAGATGCTCAAACCAAAAAAGCAAAACAAAACAAAACAAAAAAATGCTAAACAAAAAAAGCACAATTTTAAGATGCACCACTTAATTACTTGTAATTACATGATGAATATTTTGATGCTTACAAGCTTACAATGTATTATCACTAACATGGAAAACCAAGCAAATTCTGTCAAATGCATTGAAAACATAGTTCTTTGATTCTTTCTTTTCCAGCCAAAACAACCCAAAAATACAAAGAAATAAGTTAAAAATACGATCATATACTTCTCATTAAAAAAAAAAAAAAAGAGTAAATCAACAACTACTTACGAATATCAGATTGAGGGAAGAAAAAAACAAAGAAAACAAAACATAATCGGTCAAAATTTCGTCCTAAAACTCGGGATTAAAGGATTTAAAATATCGCCAATCCAATTCAAAGTTTCGAATTTTTAACAAACAAATGGGTGAAATTGAAACGAAAATCTTGATCCTAATTAGAAATATCAAGCAAACGAATCTAACCGAAGCGAGCTCACAAACCCTAATCAACTTCCCTAAAACGAAAAATCCATTAACAAATCTCTCCCTAATCGAAAAAAGTTACCCTCAATACCGGCCAAAAACAACCAAAATGCACGGAAATTAAGAGCGTGATTTCGCTACTGGAACCACAAAGAGGACATGATAAACGAAAAACCCAAGCTTTTTGCGGGATTTAAAAAAAAAAAAAAAAAAAAAAAAACTTTGTTGCGAAATTAAGGAAGTGGAAATTGAGCTGGGAAACGAAGAAAAACCTTGAGATTTTGGGAAAGGCAAGGGATATCGATGAGTTATGAATCCAGCAGCTGAAGAAGAGCTGGCTTCTCTTCTTCTTTCGTGAAGAAACGCAGCCTTTGATTATTATGAACAGAATAAATTATAACAATGAGAGAGAAAACTTTTGGTGCTTCTCTCCCGTTGACAGAAAAGGCATAAACGACATTCTTTTCTTCTGATACAAAATTCATGTAAATTAAAAATAGTTTGAATCACATTATTTGAATCTTTCAACCAAACATAAAAAAAAAAAAATAGGAACGACATGGTTCTTTTTTTAATGGGTTACCTTTTCTTATATTATGTGTGTTTATGGATTTAGAACGTTTGGTTGATAAATTTAAAATCATTCTCAATTATGTGTATTTTTTTTAGAAAAAATATTATAACGAATTACGATTCAAATTATACTATAAATTCGAGGATGTTTGGTACCTAGATTCGTTCCCTGATTCGAATCATGGTTCATGCTTCGCTACAGTATTTTCTTTTATAAAAAACACAAATAAATCGAAAATGATTCTAATCATATGGTTTTAATCCATAAACCAAACGTCTCACAACCAAACGTTGATTTAAAAAGTATATTCTGGTATCCATTGATCATACAAATATGTATCTTTTCTACATCAAGAGTCGATTGACTTTTAAAATTAACTGGTAGTGACTTTTAGCTTTTTATTGCTACAAACGTATATTATTACATCACTCCATGAAGGTTAATTTAGTAATTAAAATGATAAAATCGAGTGTCGACTGTTAAAAAGTATAAGTTTACTTGTTAAATGTAATTTAAGTATATATATATACATATTTATATATATGTGTGTGTGTGTGTGTGTGTGTGTGTGCAACACTTAAAATTAAGAGTAGTTTTTGAGTAAATCTAGAACAAAAGGCACAAACAGATAAATAACTTTTTTTTTTTAAATATCATCATTAATACGGCATTGTGATAAATAATAAATTGGTCTATAAACTGACAAATTTTTTATTTTTAACAATTTTGATCCCTAATTTAAAATTAACTAAAGATTTTTTAACCTTAATATTATTATAGTTTGTATGTAATTTTGTTACTCGTAAAATATTCTAAACAATTTGTTATAAATATGCTTTGTGGTGTGAATTTTACTTGGGTAATTGCACTGGATAATTGCATAGAAGATGAGCTAATAGAATACTTATTTACTAAATTGTTCAATAACATTCATAACCTTTGTGATACGTGTTATTTATGTTGAAAATCTTAAGAAAATGAGTTTTTTTGTTAATTTTTATATTTCGCGTGGCATTTCTTCTAAGAATGTAATAGAGGGAAAAAATTTATAAGAATTACTAAGATTTGAGGGAAAACACGACTAAAACTAAAGTTTCCGAATATTTAGTGATAACGGCTATAGTTCGGAAAAAAAAAAATGTATAATTAGTCCTTAAAAAATTAGTGGAAATATGGAAGTGGAAACTGAGCTAGGAATCGAAGAAAAACCTTGTAATTTTGAGGGAAAGGAAAAGGGATTTCTGGATTTTCAATTCCAAAACTAAAGAAGAGCTGATTTCTCTTCCTCGTCTTTTGTCAAGAATGCAGCTTTTGATTATTATGAACAAAAGGAATCATAGCAATGCGAGAGAGAGAGGAGAGGTGAGAGATACAACTTTTATAGTTTTGGTCCTTCTCGTTGGCAGAAAAGGTGTAAACAACGGTCGTGTTTGAAATTGATCTAGTTTTTATTTTTTACGTTTTTTGATAAAAAAAAAATAAAAATATTTTTAAAACGGCGTTTAGAGTAATAAAGAAAAAAACAGAAATGAAAATGATTTTTTGATTTAGTGTAAAATAAGAGAGAAATAAAAAATAATTTTTAGTCGTTTTTCATTTTTTATTTTCATTTTCTCATCTCGAGAGCAGAGGAAGACATTAATAGGGTTTTTTATACTGAAAACAATCTCTTAATAAAACTATTAAATGCATTTTTAAAAATAATTTATGTATGAGATTGAAAACGTTTTCATTTTCATTTTCATATAAAATACAAAATCACTTTGGAACGAATTCCAAATGCACCCAACACGTGTTCTTCTCCTAACAAAAGTAAAAATAGGAACAAGCGACATGCTTCTTTTTTTAGTTAGGGTTAATTCCACAAATAGTCCTTCAAGTTTAGTCTTAATTTCACTTTGGTCTCTAACTTTTTAAACGTCTCACAGTTAGTCCATAAAGGTTTATTTTGTTTCAATTTTAGTCCTTCTATTAACTAATCTTTAAAATTTGATAAAATCTATATAAATTATGGACTAAAATTAGAAACACTTAAAGTTTTAAGACTATTTGTGAAAATTAGTTTTTGTTAATTTTTTTTTGTATTGTTTTAATTCCTAAACTTTATATGTTTCTAATTTTAGTCCTTAATTTTCACATATTTCGTCAAATATTCAACACTAAGTTAACACAAGGATGGAAACCGAAATGGAGTAAAACCTCGTGAGCTAATTGTGGAACGTTTTAAAAGTCAAGTATCAAAATAAAATTAAAGGTAAACCTTAGAGACCATTTATAAAGTTAATCTTTTTAGTTATTAACACTTTTAGTTTCTGAACTATAAGTATTGGAACACTTTAAACTTTTATGTTGACAAATTACTCTGTAAATTTTTAATTTTTTACTATTTTGGTCTCTAATTCTAAAATTGATCAAAGATTTCTGAATTTATCATTATAATAGTTACTACGTAATACTTCTATTCTCAAAATATTCTAAAACGAATTGTTGTATTTCAGTTATACTCTTATAAATATGTTATTATGTAGTAATTTTTACATGGGGTGTGGGGATGAATTGATGAAATTTACATCTTGTTTTTCAACAAAAATTATCCATGCTACAAACCTAATTGTCCAAGTTCATAAAAGGGAGATATTTCATTAGAGCAAGATGAACTCATATATCTACAATTATTTTCAAGAAAAGGGCAGAACTACATAAAATGCAGTACCTAAGAACAACTAGTAAGAGATGTTACATTTTACAACCTACATGAAATGTATCACAACATCAACAACAACAACAACAACAACAACAAAAAAAAAAAAAAAAAACAAGAAAGGAAAAGAAAAGAAAAGCAAGATAAAACTCATGTTTAAGCCATTGACCTCTTGGTATAAGCCATAAGGAGGGACAGGCTTGGATGTGGAAGGGTACAGGTCCAATCCTACGTTGTCAAAAAAAGGAAAAAAAAAAAACTCGTATTTACAATTAAAACTAGCATAAAATGTAGCACCTAACAATAACTCACAAGAGATGTCACATTATACAACCTAGACAAATGTCATATCTTTTGGCAAAAAGAAAAAGGGGGAAAAAAAAAAGTCTTCTATGAAAAAGATTGGACCACAGAAGAACTGGAAACCAATCCTGAGAGAAGAGCCACAAGGAGGGCATTGTTGTAAGTGCTTGGTTCACTTAGCATTGAATTGTTCCGATAATCAACATAGGTCTCATTTAAGAAAGGTCCACCAACTAGCGCACCAATAGCTAAATTTGGATTTGGTTTGGGTGAGTACAGCCATTCGAATCCATCTTTACACCCAGTTTTAGCATCAACTGGAATAGAAGATCCCCTATGGTGCACTTGTTGAGGGTAGTTGTTACCGTATCCAACAAGGTAGCTCATCTCCATGGGATTTTGGCCCAACACATAATCAACCTGAAAAAAAAAAAAAAAAAAAAAAAAATCATTTTTTTTGGTTAGGAGTAGCATGAATTTTTTAGGCGTATGAGCTTGATTGCCAATGAATTATTGTACCTGTGACATGGCGAATTTGCGAAGATCTTCCGGTGTGTAGGATTGGCCGTCGCAGTAGAGAATTTCGGTCTGGGATGTGAGCATGTAGTCACCGTAAAGAACAGCTAGGAATGCAGAAGCCATGGAATGTTGTAGACAATGCCAATTTATCACCCAAATCAAGCCATCTACATCCAAAAGGCAAGCATAATGACATAAACAATTTTCATTGAGCAATTTTCATCCAAAGGCAAATTCCATCCCTCTTTGGATTCAAGTAAAATTCAATATGCATCCTTAAATGCTCAAGAATTACAAAAATATGCCTTCAGATTGTCAATTCCTTTAAAACCCTTCCCCACAATACCTTTCAATTGTGTTAATATCATAAAATTAGATGAGATGCAAAGTCTATACTATTAACAATTCATTTCACTGACAACTATTTCTAACCTTATTTGAAAAATCCTCACGTCTACGGGATTAAATTTTGTAGTTCTTAAGAATATAAGCTCAACAATGCATTTCACTTAACAAAGATATGGGATTTTTTTTTTTTCTGTAATTTTTTTCGTTTTAATAGTCCAAATGATTTGTAAAACTAGGATATTCTTGTTTAAAATAGATGTGTATGAGATATTCACAAATAGTTCTTTTAAGGAGAGGATACTACTCTGTGTTCTGCTTGATGTGGCTGGTGGCGAATCAGGGAGAAGCCCACACATGACAACCTCTGCAGTCTTTCTGTACATTTGGAGAGCAATATTTTCACCGACCGAGATCCCCTTCGCACCAAAGTAACTAATCCGGGATAGAAGAACCTGCCTCAAAATAGCAATATTAATGTCCACTACAAAAAAATGTGTCATTTTACGACACATATTAGACGACGGTTTCTGGTTCATTTAGACAAATCTTGTTTTGACATCAAAATAAGATTTGTCTAAATATTTTGTTAGGTACCAATTGCTAAATAAAAAGAGGAAAGTGAAAACATAGTATGGTAATACATGCCTGTGTTCCAGCATGCTTGTCATCCCAACTAAACCAGCTTGCACTTCCCCAACTAGCAAATTCTTGCCTGTTTATTTCGGTCGCATAATCAAGATACGAATGGTCTCCAGTTGCATGATACAGCCAGGCAGCCGCCCACAGGAGCTCGTCGCCATAACCCGTCGAGTTGTAGTACTCCTGGACTTGTGGAATGCTAAGACTATAAGAACCTCTATAAGTATCTGCGAAGGTAAAGAGCTGCTGAGCATGCATGAGGAGCATACTAGAGTAAGAAGAGTTCAGTTTCTTGAAGACAAGAGACGCCGACGCCATAGCTGCCGCGGTTTCTGCTGCGACTTCTGTTCCTGGGAAGGATGTGTTGATTTGTAGAGTTGGCCTTTTCTCTGTCATGGCTTCAGGTCTTTGCCAACATTTATGGTCCAATTCAGGATCACCCACCTACATACAAACAAATGAATAGAACACTAACCATTTCAAATACTACATGTACATTCATAAATCAGAATATGGTAAATTGAAAAATGAAAAAAAAAAAAAAAATGACAAGACATGACAAATTTATGCAACTATGGCTTTATGTGCCTGAGATAAATGTACTTTTGTTGACATTGCCATAAAATTAGACAAAATTTCACATTACCCCGACTAATTCATTTTCACATAATTGTCCCTAACTTATTTGATAACAATATCTAATTTTGATTGAATCTAACATAAAGAGTAAGAATTTTAAGTAATCCTGAAAAAAAACAATGAGAATCTTGTCATTTTCCCAGAAAAAATCGACTTCTTTCAAATTTAGAATATGATTTTGAGCAACTGAGAAACCTGAATATAGAGCACATTGGGAGAAGGATGAGCATTGACAAGGTAATCAGTGATCCACTTGAGAGAGTCTTGAGCAAAACCCAATTGCTTAACAGCTTCCATTTGGTCTCCATATTCAAGAATTGCCCATGACAAAATTGTGGCTGTGAAAGCCAAAGGGAAACCAAACTTTACAAGATCACCCGCATCATACATTCCCTTTGACAAATCCAAGTTCTGATCAATCCCATCTTGTAGCCCGGAATCTCCTCTCCACCAAATCCTATTATCCACCAGCTTACCAGCTAGGACAAAAAAAGTTTCATTAATAATTTCACTTCTTAGACCTTTTAAATTAAGGGCAAAAATAGTCTCCATGCCTTATTGCTAAAATTTGGCTTAATTAAACTAAGAATATTGGTCTCTATACAAAGATTACTTTGAACAAAATATACGTTTGGCTCATTTCTGTTAACGAAAATTAATGAAAAAAAAAAGGACTTGGAGAAGTATTAACTACTAACTATGTCTTCAAGTTTGGGCACTAATTTGAAACCAATTGTGGAAGCATGTATATTCAAACTACAACACAAGTCAACAACATTCGAGACGTTTGTTTCCTGTGTTCTTGATTCTGCATCGTGATTTATATTTTTCTACCGCGTTTTTCTCTCAAAAAAATACGCGTAAAATAAAAATAATTCTGAATTTATGAACCAAACATTTACTTTTTTTTAGACAACCTAAAAATTTAGAGCGAACAATAAAGGGAGACTCTGTACATACATTTTTGGACATCAAAGAATTGCATGGCGATTTCGAGAGCTTTCGCATATTGAGCGACGACGGGACCTGGGCGATGTGGGACGCCGCTTGGCTTGGTCTTGGTCATGTGCTTGAAATAGCTCAAGAGAGTGAGTACAGAAGCTGAGGCTACAACACCCGCAAGCACCAACACAAATAACCACCATAACCATTCTTTGGACTTGGTTTCCTCACCTTTCTTGTGAGCTTCCATTTTGAACTTCTCAATCTCTATAAAGTTATCCGAGACATTTTATATTAAGATGTAATGAACTAGTGTTTTTTCAAGCAAAAAAAAAAAAAAAAAAAATGAACAAGTTTTTTATGAAAAGTACGGTGGTTCTGTTAAAGTATGAAATTATTATTAGTATATTTTTTAAAAGTTTAAATTTTTAAGATAGATTAATAAATTAATATGGTATTAGAGTGAAAAGTTTTAAATTTAAATTTTCGTAATTGTATTATTTATTTTCATTTAAAATTATCATTATATGCTATACTTTTAATATATCTCAAATTTAAATATTTATGTATTAAATTTTTTAATTAAATTACTCACATAATTACTCATTATCTAATTTACATGTAAAAATAATATTAAAATATAAAATTATTATTGATTCACGTTTTAAAAACTTAAATTTTTAAGTTGAGTTAGTAAATTAACAGGCCCAATTGAAAAAATGCTATAACTTGACGGTTGGAGCGTTAGATGTTGGAGCCAAAACTGAGGAATTGATTTGAATTGACGTAATTGTCTTTTAATATTGGGGTCCACAAAGGTTGTGCAGAGGGCTTGGATAGGGCTAAAATTGGAAGGTTGGGGACGTGGCCAAGAAGTGATACCGTTGTGGACGGCCAGACAATGTTGTCAGTATCAAAACGGCAGCTATAGCTTGTCGTTTCTACTGAACCCGAGTCTAATGAATTATTATCTGGTTTTGTCGTTTTGTGTTTTAACATGTCTTTTATTGTGATAATATTTTTGAGGGCTTATTGTAATTAATTTTGAGGCCATCTGATATAATATCAGCGATATATATAGATATATATGTATGTATATGTATCATAAAATCTAATTTTTTCCTACGGCAATGCAGAGGCTTCAAAATGTGTGTATAATGCTTTCACAGTAATGTTTAACGTAGAGGCTTTTTATTTTATAAATCTCAGTTATATTTTTCATCTTCTTAAAAAAAGAAAAAAGAAAAAGGAACAGTTAAATTTGCTCAATAAAGAAATAGATCATTTCTTTGGTGAAGAAATAAAGATAAATAAAAACGTATACAATAAATAAAAATGTGATTGAGTGTCTACAATATTCATTTGTGGCAGTAATATATATGCGAAAGGAGTTGCTCTATAATCTCAAACACGGTAGAAAAACGCTAGTTCACTAATTTTAATTTTTTTGTTGTTGATTATTTGATATTTTATACTATGCATTTTAAATTTTATAAAAAAATACCATCCATTTTGGAGGTTCTCAATATTATACTCTTGGATTTTAATTTCATATCAAATTAGTATTTTTTTTTTTTCGATTGAATGTTCATTTTGACAACTTAAATGATAACTTTCTTAGTTGTGAGATATAGAGTGAACAAGTTGATAATAAACTCTAAATAATAAAATAATCTTTTAAGTAGTAAAGTTAATAGTCAACAAGTGTGTAAATATGAAACGAAATTAAGATATAATGGTACGTAACATTTAGAACATCCAAAATGCATGGTATATATTTTGTTGATGAGGTTAAAATATAGGGTATGAAATAGTAACTTTTTAAGTCGCGTTTATTTCACCGATTTGAATTTAGAATTCGAGTTTTGTTATAATAAAAAATTCTTAGAAACAGTCACATCTAACTTTTTTACTACAGTAAAAGACTATCACATAAAGTCACATCTCAATTCAAATTGAAAACTCAAATCAGTGAACTAAATAGGAGTTGGGCTTAATTTATGGATGAAATACTATCTGCACAGAGCCACAAACAATGAGATAATTAGTTTAGTAATTCTCGCCATTGTCATTATCATGTGATCTCACTCTAAAACTTGACAATATACGAATTCATTACTTTTATAAAATTCTTTTTAAATTAACTAAACAAATTAGTTTATTCAGTCTTTGGTTAGGTATCCTTGTTTTATTTCAATCCATATTGAAACAAAAGTGAGGTTGTAAGTTGCTTGTTTACATTTGAATCAAGCATATGCCTAGCCACTTTTCAAGAGTTGATTCTTTTCTATGTTTGTCTTGCATTGCATTTTATATGGCGAATTTGAAAAAGGCGTTGATAAAAAACTTAGAAATGTATTTTACGCAAAATAGTTATTGAGCTGCCAACAAGACAGTATTAAAGTCCCCTTCAATTTTTGCATTGGATATCTGTTGACCTTTGTAAATTTAAGTGCAAAGTTCTGAGTATTTGTCAATGAAAACGAGAGGTAATTCATTGCTTATTTTCCAGTGGTATAAACGAAAGTTAAAGCCGTCTTTTTGTGATTCATTGAAAAATTACACGGACGAACAATTGGATTTCATAAGTAGTACCGGGTGCGTTTGGTTGGTAAATTCATATCATGATTTAAATCATAATTTGTGATTCGTTACAGTGTTTTCTCTCACAAAAAATACACGTAAATCGTGAATAATTCTGAATCATTATTTTAAATCCATGAATCAAACGTCCACTTACACTCCTCTCTTCCGCTACATAACACTTGTGGGGTGAAGAATAGAGGATGCACTAATAGGTAAATTTTCCCTTATACCAAACATATGTCTATATGAAAAAGTTTGAGCTTGATTTATACATAAAAGTGGTAAGAGGAATAACTATACTTCATAGTGGTTAGTCTAAGTTGGGTACTATTTTTAAAGTATAGTTTTCACACGTAGCATTGTCACATGTAAAGTAAGCTTAAATTTTTCAATATTCGAATTAAATAATTAAACTGAATGACCATTTTAGATTCCCTATTTATTTATTTATTATTTTGAAAGTGGGGAATATATCCAAATTAAGCAAAAATAAACATGAATGTTTACTTATAGGGCAACTTCACGACCCTTCTAAATTAGGACCGATAATACGGGTCACGACACGACGATATGACTAAAAAATGACAAGAATTTTACGGGTTAGGGTTGAGAAAAAAGAGGTTCGGGTCAGAATTGGGTCGACATGAAATTGACACGAAAAACCCGGGTCAATTTCGGGTTGGACCCGCCTAACCCGAACACGACACGAAACTCGTAAAAAACTAAAAAATATATTTTTCATTGCATATTTTAAATTTTATTATAAACTGGTGATATCATGATAGTTATACTCAAAATTTTATACTATTATTTGCTTAATTTCAATGGATGTTATTGTAATTTAGTGTGTTATGAAGTTTAAGTTATTTTTAATATGTAAAAAACTAAATGAAAGTATACAATTTTCGTGTCAATTTCGGGTTCACGGGTCAATTTTGTGTCACGGGTCATTTTCGGGTCGTGTTGTGTCAACTCGTAAAGTGGTCGTGTCGTGTTCATGTTGCGGTTTTTAAAAAATTTCGTGTTACGGGTCGTGTTTGGGTTGACTGTAAATTTAAAAAGAAACGATCAAAATACGACACGTAACATGAATTACCACTACTATTCTAAACAATTGGTTCTATCGGTAGACTCAATTAAAACGCTAAAAAAAATACACGTGTACCCAATTTTGAAAATAGACATCTACTTGTAAACTGCAAAATTACTATCCCAAAAAATGACGAAAATATACCAGAACTAGTCGGATTCCGACTGAGTTTGCTCATCCTCAGCTCAATTCCCTATTCATCCACCAAATCAAGATTCGACAACTTTCGATCAAAAAGTCAATGTCCCAAAACCACCAGTTATTAATCGAATTCTTTGGTTAATAACTTTCTGCCCGTCTTTTTTGGCGACTGCGAGACATTCTGTCGGGGAGAAAAGGCAATAAAGACGTAATTTTTTCCTCTCATCTGTGAGAGTCGCGAGATTTTTGGCCGTCTTCTTCGAAGACGATGAGACATTCTGGCGGGGAGAAAGAGGGGCAGCAGAGATTTCTGAAATGTTTATGTTAAGTGTTCGTCTCTAATTTTAAATCCTAATTTTTAATTCTTTATATTAGTTTTTTAAATTTAAAATTTAAAAATTAGAATCATGAATTAAGAAGACGTTTAGTTGATGGATTAAAATTATTTTCAATTTACGTGTATTTTTTATAAAAGAAAATATTGTAACAAATTATGAATGATGATTCAAATTGGAGTACAAATTCTTCAACTAAACAACCCCTAAATGTTCCATTCGTAATTTCGCGTGATTTTCGGTCTTCTTCTTTGGCGCTGACCAGATATTCTGAGAGACAATAACATGGTAAAAGTGGTATTTCAAAAGATTAATATTAAAATCTGCTGTTAATTTTCACCTCTAACAAAATATGCTATAAATTTTTATTCCCTCTCTATAAAGTCTGCTATTTACTTTAAGAAAATTGTATGAAATATACTTACATTTAAAACTTATAGAAGCAGATGACCAATTTATTAATATATAAAAATTAATAGACTATTTTATGATTTTACTTTTTTATTTTCTAATTTTACCCTTTTTTGATTTTTTTTTATCCTTTAGTAAATCCATGTATATTCAAGATTTACTAGATTAGAATCATTTAAAAAAAAATAGTATAAATTTTAATGGTAATCCTGAATATACTTACTAAATCTAAGATTTACTGAGATCATATTACTAGGAAAAAATGCACAATTTCTAATGGTAAATCTCATATATACATGGCATATATAGGATTTACCAAGTTGATATTAGTACGGAAAAAATAAAAAATTTAATGGTAAATTTTGAATTTACTAAGTTCGTATTAGTAGGAGAAGAAAATACTACAAATTTTAATAGTAAATCTCGGATATATTTAATAAATCACGAATTTACGACATTTACTAAGTTGCTATTAGCAGGCTAAATGAAAAATCTCGAATTTACTAAATTCGTATTATGAGAAAAAAAGAAAAAAGTATGACGATAAATCTCAGATATACTTGATAAATACTGAATTTACTAAGTTCATATTAATAGAAAAATACCGAAAATCATAAATTCTGAATATAAACAGTAAATTTAAAATTTATTAAGAGAGTATTTTCAAAATTTTAATCGATTATAAAACCGGATTTACATCACATTAACTTATTTATTAACTTTTTTAAAATATTGACCTTCCAATTTTCCTTGATCCCCCTTTACTTCTCCCCCTAATTTACACTACCCAGCCGGCTTAGTCTTAAGTCCATGGGCCCATAATCTCCCCTTGGCCTAGCCACGTGCGTGCTGAGATCCTCCTCACCTGTGTGGCTGCGCCAGACAAGAAAATAAACCACCATGATGAGGAACCCAGATCCTCTGTTTAAAATATCTGTCCATTGATGAGCAAATAAAAAAAAAAACAAAATTGTGATGTTTATTTCACTAAAGCAAAGCACCAGTTTCGACTCTCAAAGGCTACAAACCCACCAACCAAAACAATATATATATATATATCGAATTGAAACGGCAAAACAATGGAGGAAGATGGCGAAAGCTAACGTTAAGGCTTGGTCCTAATGTGAGTGATTCTAGTTCTTTTTTATCTGGGTTCTAAGATGGGTTCTATTTTTTTTTTCCTTTTCTTTTCAGAACACTAAATGCTCTGAAGATCAAAGAATAAAAACCCAGAAAAAGAAAAATCGATGCCGCCGTTGTGATCTCCGACGTCGTTGTTGCAAATCCGATGCCATTATTGCTTTTCCGGACTTGGATGGAGATGGACGAGGAAGGAGATGCAATAGTAACGGAGGAGTTCTGTTGTTTCCTCTCTCTGTTTGTTAGTGGTTTAAGTGAGTGGAATGAGGTGTCAAATAGTTATTGGATAGACAGGGAAATCGACAGGCATTTTAGACAGAGAATCCGGGTTCCTTGACGAGTCATAATCATTCCCAAAAACCCAAAATACCTGCCAATCCTACTCTTCCTCAACCGTCGACTCTCACAGTCATAAAGCAACACCAAATTTGTGATCATTTTCAGAAGTAAGTTTTGAAATTTTTATTTTTATTTCCATTTTCAATTTTCATTTTCTCATTTCCGATGACAAAGGGTCAAGAATGAACTAATAAAATTTTAAAGACACTACCAATTTTGTTGATTTTCTCAATGTGAATTTGGAAAACAAACTAGGGGAATTGATTTACACTTTCTCACGCTATCTCTTTCTTTTTCAGAATTCTCTCTCTCTCTCTCTCTCTCTCTCTCTCTCTGTCTCTCTGTCTCTATCTTGTATATGTGTATATATATATATATATATATATGTAAACAGATATACACTGAACAACTTGCGTAAATTTTTGGTAGATTCTAGTTTCTTTGTGTGGCTTTTTTTTTTTTTTTTTGGTAGATTTGCGTGGCATTTTGCTTGTTACATGTATTTTTTTCTATGTCAATAGAGTTATTTTGCTTGATACCTGGATTCTTGTTTTTGTTGGCCCATCGTTTTTTCCCCCTTTTTTTCTACAGGTTTTGTTATTTTTTTCCTAAGAAACCAAAAGACAATTTATTAGTTTCTTGCTTAGTGATAAAATATGTTGATTCATGCCATTTCTATAAGCCATTTCTGTTTCTGTCTGCTCTGTTATTCTTTAGATTAGATCAAATCTCAAGGCATCCACTTTTTTTTTTTTTCAGCACTCAATAGAGTAAACTTAGATACGTAAATCTCATTACAACTCAAATATTTCAGTTTAACATTTTCCTTTACTAGTTTCCTATAGTAATTTTAGACATATTTTCGTTTGTATAAGCATATGACTTTATTATTGCAGAGTTTTTTGTTTGTTCTTTTTTCTTTTTTTTTTCCCTTCTAATAATGAAATTTTGTTATTGACAAAAACAGTCTTAATCTTTCAGCAGGCCTTAAACATGGAAGGTGACCAAGTGCAAATGCAGTCTGATCTTCTTGCCCTGAGACAATTATACGGGCTTCTTCAAAATATTATTGGATTTGGTATTCCAAATATAAGCTTAGAAAATGTAAGCAATTCTCTCCCTCTCTCTCTCTCTCATATATACTCTTATTTGACTAGTTCTTGAAGTTGAAGCAAAATTTCGATTAACTTCACTCTCTCTCTCTCTCTCTCTCTCTCTCTCTCTCTCTCTCATATATATACTCTTATTTGACTAGTTCTTAAAGTTGAAGCAAAATTTCGATCAACACAAAATGAACACCTTTAAAATCATAATTCGGATTGAATATAAGATGTATGAACATCTTGTTGAACACTAAGAACCAGTACACAGATGTGGTACGAGCCATAGGCACTCTGACTCTCAAGTTATCAATAAGCTTTGTTTTAAGAATTTGACAAAGTTTGTGTTCAACAAGGTCATACAAGGTTCTTAATCATTACATTTTTCATTCAATCCAGATTACAAGTTTAAGAGCCATTTATCCTGTTTTTCGTACTTTCCTTCTTTTTACTAATTTGGGAAATCATAACCAATCATGTGATTTTTCATCTTCACAAAGGTTGGCAAGTTGTTAGATAAGAAAGCGCTGCAACTACTAAAGAATCTTCTGGATGATGCCAGACAAAGGCTCTCTAAGACAAGTACTGCTATTTCACAAGATCGTGTCGTTTATTCAGAGGTCTCTAAACTCAGATTCTCATCAAACAAAAAGAATCAATGCCAAAGTAGAGATCCATGTGATCAAAAGAAGCCCGAATTCCGAATTGGCAATTGTTCAAATGATCTTAGTAGTAGTAGTTGTAGTACTAGTCTTATGATGGACAAGAAATTATTATCTGAATTTTCGAAGGAAGTCACGGACGCGATTTTCGAAATCGATTCCCGAGTTTTGGCCTTGCAAAATTTGATGATGAATACTCCTGCCAAGAATTACAACAATTCTTTGACAAGCGAAACAATATTTAAGGAGGAGAAGAGCTTTAATTATGATGAAACGCTGAGTCGACAAGCGAGTCATCAGCCGAGCCAGTACTTTGACATTTACAAGCCTAGAAATCGACTTGAATCGGTGAGTCGACATGGAACGAGTTACGTCCATGGCTTGAGGGTACCGCTGAGTCAAGATCAGGATGACTCGGCTGGCACGAGTTGGCCTTCTTTCGGAATTAATCAGAATAATAATCCAACGGCTAGAAAAGCGAGTAGTGCTACCAGGAGAATAACAAGATCAGGTGATTATCATCACAAGATCATCACGAGGCCAACTTTGTTAATGGATCAACAGGCTAATCAGAGCAGATCAAACATCGTACTATCATCAGATCCTTCCTCTTCATCCGAAAGTGAAACAAAATCGAATAATTCCATTGCGAGCCCGACAAGATCTTCAACGTCATCATCATCAGTGAGATCATCATCAAGTGATGATGAACAAACACAAAGCAGCTCGTCATACAGTCGAAGTCATATTCGAATTAATCCGATTTTTTCGAGACGAGAAAGAGATAATTCGGAGAAAGGAATTGGACGGCTGAGGCGGATTAAGAACAAGTTAGGGCTGATTTTCCACCACCACCATCATCATCACCATCACCACCGCGGTAACAACCGGAAGCTACTGCAGAGAATCTTTCACGCCAAGAATAATAATAATAATATAAAGGCGCATATTGGAGGAGTGAAGGATAGGAAGGGGACAAGAAAATCAGTGGTCAAGAGTAGTACTGACCGTAAAAATGTTAGACATTTTCATGCATTGGTAGAGGGGCTAATGCAGCACGTCGGTGGGCGCCGCCGCCGCCGCCGTGTAAAGAAGGCGGGGACGGGTAAATTGGGCGAGCCGAAGAAGAGGTTGGGGAAGGGGATTGGTTGGTGGCAAAGGTTTGGAGGCCGTGGAGGAGTGAAGATGGTTAATAGACGAGGACGTGTGAGGGTAATTAGGTTTGCCAATAAGACACCAAAGTTGAAGATGTGATTGTAACTCGTAAGACCCATCTCCTAATTGTGAAAATGAGATGTTTATTTCTTTGAAAAGTTAATTGAAAGAAGTATATTTGTTAAATTTGAATATTTTTGTTAAATTTTCTCTTCATTTTTTTTTGTTACTTTACTTAGTTTAATAAAATATGTGAGAAATGGCCTTTCAAAACATTGTCATATTGAAATGTCTCAACTTTTATTAAACTTGAAAATGATCGTTTTTAAATAATAATCAGCAAGTGGTCTTCTGATTAAGTAAAATCACTATTTAATCAAAATCAATCAATAATGTCCTGAGGTGATTTTTCAGTTTAGCTTGCGATTATCTTTTGATGAGTTAATATTATACCAAGACGACTATTTATTATTATTTTAATAAAATGTAATTTTTCTTTTAAAAAAAATCAATCAATAGTTTACCTGTCAATTAACCATTTTAATGTCGCTGGTTATTTCCTAAAACCACAATAATTTTTGACATTTATTAAAGGTACATGTCTCTTGTGTACTTGTAACTTGGTGTTTTTTTTTTTTTTTTTTTTGGCTAGTTAGCGTACTTGTAACTTGTTTATTGCTTTACTTGCGTCTTCTCCCCTTTACTTTTTCACTTGTTTATAGTTTGTTGGTTCCACACCCACCTTTAACATAAACACATTTTTTTAAGTGTCCTATTTTATTTGGTTATGTCAAATTTTCATATTATATTTAATTTAGTACAAATTCAATTTAATCACGCCTAAAATTGTGTTCCTTGACAGGATTATTATTATTTTTATTATTATTATTTGAAGGATCTCTGGACAGGAATTCAAGGAAATGTTATTTTTTATTAAAAAAAGAAAATTTTAACTTTCATTATTTACCAAACGACCTCGCAAAAAGCAAGTAAATCTAAAAAGGGAATTAGGTCGTACACAGGGATGGTACTTTCTCTCTCTACAATCTCCGTATCCAAAGACCAAAACCCAAAGCATCTCCTTCGAAACCCTCCTTGCGTTTTGTACCTTCCTTCTCTCTCTCTCTCTCTCTCTCTCTCTCTCTGCTTGGAGCAGAAGGAAAATATCTCCGAATTTTCTAGAGAAAGTGGAGATTTTGGAGAAAAGAAGCAATGGGAGAAGGGAGAGAAGGGGACTGGGAATGCGGCGGATGCAAGAACAGGAACTACGCCTTCAGGTCCTTCTGCAACCGCTGTAAGCAGCCTCGCATCCTCGTCGACGTCAACACCCCCGCCGACTCCAAGTGGCTCCCCCGCATCGGCGATTGGATCTGCACCGGTTAGCCAATTCAATCTCTCTCTCATAGTTTTTGTTTTCTGGATTTTGGTTTGATTGATGGAATTTTTGGTTCGAGTATTGGGATCGAATTTTGTGCTCTGTTTGATGAATTTTTTCAGTTCTTTGCTGGGTTTGGATTTGAGATTGATGAATTTACACTGTTTCACTCATTTTTGTTTTGGTGTATCTTACTTATTTAGAGAAATTTCAGTTCTTTGGTGCTTTTGGATTTGAGATGAATGGAATCACTGTTTCATAATCGAATTTAGAAGAAAACAGCGTAAATTATGTGACTTGAGATTTCAGCACTTTTGTTTCCTATTTTGGTTATTGGAAGGTGTTTGAAACTGCAATTTACTCTTGTTGGTTTTTCTAGAGCTTGTTGGCCAGTAGGCACAATTAAAAGAAATTAAATTTCTTTAAACATTAATTACTTCGATAGCATCGGAATTTTTGTTTTTGTAGTCAAATTCGAGCGAAAACAGTGTAAATTTAGGATTTTGGCCACAAGTATAAAAGGATGAAGTACTTTTCTCTTAATGACATCTGATTTTCTTCTTGTAGCTTCTTTTTTTTTTTTGGGGGGGGGGGGGGGGGCACTTCTTGTCACAACTATCTCGTGATCTTGCTTTAAAACTTAATAATTTACTAATGCTACGCTTTTGTCAAACTCATTGGACCCTTGCAAGTAAAATAGGCCTTTACTTTCATAGTGAATTACTTTATCCATTTTTTGGGTAGGCAACCTGTAAATCCGAAACCATGTGAGCTTATGAATGCTTTCAGCACATGCCCAATCACTTTTGTAAGAGTGGTGTTCTGGTGCTTCTATGTACTTTTGCATTTTGTTCTCCAAAATTTAGTACTTTTGAAGAACTTATGAATTATTAAAATAGTCACTTATTTTTCCCTTTAGATTTGTTTTGTCCACTTCCTATCCTCGTTGTCCTTTTGTTTTTCGTTGCAATATCTAAAAGACCACCTTTAGCTTTTATAACTTATACTTGGACAGCGGAGAAACTGTGTTTGATTTGTTGTATGTTGATTTTCCAGTTACATCATTAACCTGTTTCTATCACATCTGATGTAGTTAAGTGTTGAGTTAGTGACGGCATGATAAATGCTGTGAGTTACCTACTTCATGCATATTTATTTTGTCAAGTTTAGGAACTTGCTATCAGATTAGGTTGAGTGGTTTGTGTTTTTTTGTATGTGTGGTTTTGGTGTTGGGATGGACACGGGTTGGTGTGCGTATAAATGGCTTCCTTTCCTTCTTCCTGGCTGCATTTTGGGTATGGGTTTGTATGGCAAATGGATCTATAGGGTGCACTAACAACAATTATGCATCAAGAGAAAAGTGCAAAAAGTGCGGGCAACCAAAGGAGGTAGCAGCAATGCCAGCGATTGCAATGCCTGGAGCTACTCTCCCAACTTATTCGCATTATTTTGCCAGGGTCCAAGGAGGAGCAGATCAAAGGATGGGATTAATGGGCAATGGTGCTCTCCAACAGTCTTTTCCTTTGACCTCTAACTGGCCTGCAGTCGGGACCGATAAGTTTGGAGTTCTGCCAGCTTCTGCTTGGTCCTTAGGTGGGAATCCTAATTTTGGACTTCCATATGCGAACCCTAGTAATCAGCTTCTTTCAGTTCCCAAAGGATGGCGCAATGGTGATTGGATCTGCAGCTGTGGTTTCCATAACTACTCTTCTCGTGCACAGGTTTGGTGATGCTTCATGGCATTTCCTATAGTTGTCTACTGACTCTACTCTTACCATACACTGTTTTGCTGTGGTTATCTTAGTCATGTGATCTAGTTTTGGTTTTACTGCAGTGCAAGAAGTGCAATGCTTCTCCAGTTCCACCAGGTTGGTTTGTTTTTTTTTTTTTGTTTTTGTTTTTTTTTTTTTTTTAACAACAATCGGGGCTGAAGCTACCTAAGGCCCTGGGTTGGCAGGTGCCTCCCTGGGCGTACCCCTTCCCCAACTCCATTAGTTATCATGGTGTTTTCAGTCCCATTTTAGTAGTAAAAGAAATTAAATGCTAATATATGCTTTTTTTTTTAACTTCTTTTTGCTGGGTATAAAGCATTGGGAACAAAGCGATTGGCATCCGAGGAGTTTGTTCATGATTGGGACAACAAGAGGTTGAACATAGGACATGTAAGGATTTTACTTTTTGTATTATTCATGATTATTTATCTTAATGGTGCCTGCCCTAATGCCCCGTCCTCTTCTTTTCTCCTATATATTTACGGATCTCAGACAAACGGGCAACAACAATCATCATACCCGGGCTTTGAACCTCCAATAGGCACTATTGCTGGCTCCAAACCTGGATCATACACTTCCTACTCCAGTGCTGGTTCAGGTTTCGCTTCTAATTTGCAAGTTGCCACGGTATTGCCGCAGCATGCTACTACACCCACACTTCTTGGAAAAGGGTGAGTTGGGATTGGTTGTTGCTTTTAAATATACATCCCATAAGTATAGGTTTTGCATGATCTATCTAGGTAGAAAAAGTGGTGCTAGGATCATGATGTGCTACAATTTTTTTTTAATACCTTATTAAATCTACTTATTGTTTAGAAATTTTCTTATGTAATACCTTATTTAATGTAGGTATTGTTTAGATTAGTTTGATGGTGATCACGGCTTGTCTTTGTATACAATAGGTTAGATATTCTTGCATAAGAACACAGAGAGAGAGAGAGAGAGAGAGAGAGTTTCCCTTGAACGTAGGTTAGATTTCTGGTTCGCTTGCCCTTGTTCAAATAGCTTTCCTTTCTGTGGTTACTACGGATTAACTTCTTTCGGAGGGCGGTAGCAAAGCAAAGGAAGAATAGCTGTCGTTTCGTACCCTTGCGTCATTTTTGTTCCCTTGCGGTGCAAAGAAATGGCAGGAGGGGGATGAGAGAGAGAGAGAGAGAGAGAGAGAGAATAATTCATCATTTTTGTTCCCTTGCAGTGCAAAGCAATGGCGTGAAGGTGATTGGATGTGCACAAATTGCAACAACCATAATTACGCATCTCGATCGCATTGCAATAGGTTAGTTTCTACAAGGTTTTTATTACTGGTGTTGACTTCCAAACTTAATCTATTATCTGATTCTTTAGGAATATTGATTTCGCCCATTGCGTTGTGCCACAGCCTCAATTCTGTATTTTTAGCTCTTATCAGAGCCGTAGTTAGAAATATTACCTGTTGACATATCTCATTGCTCGTTTACAATTTTGATTCAACACCGGATTGAACCCGCAAGCTCTGCACCAAACCCCACCTCACTCCACTCAAACCCCCAGTGCCACTAGACCAAAGAGAACCATTGCTCATCTATAATGAAACAAAAAGTCATTTAAAATCCCTTCAGTATTTGACTTTTTTCTTTCTTGCTATTTTATGAATCAGGGGCGTTAGAGACTTTCACTTATCAGTGTATGCGTTATTTGGAAATATCACAATATTTAGAACCAATAAATGGATCTATTCGTATCTTATCAGAAAAGGAATTCGTTACCTCATTAAGATCTTGTCGTTCAAAATCCCCTTATTGTTCTATACTGTCTTTTGCAGGTGCAAGACTGAAAGGGATGCAGTTGCGCAACCGGTCAATGCCCTTTAGCTGCTTACACTCCATACTCCAGTTGTTCCCCCCCCTTTTTTTTTTTTTGACACAATCCGTACTCCAGTTGTTGTATCTTTGGTATTCAAAGGATTTTTTTTTTTGGTCTCTATGTGTTATGAATTGTAAGATGTGATGTTTTATGATCTCGATGAAATAGCGGTAGGTACGACATGCTAATGTGCCTTGGATGATCCACATCTCAGGGTTATTTATAAATATTTCTGTAAGCAGAGTGTGTAATCAACATATATTTAACTGGTTCATAATTTCCATCTAATAGTGAAAGCGTGGGTGCATTTTTAGAGCATTTGTACTCTAAAATGTTCTCTTTTTATTCGTTTTTCATCCTACGAGTAAATAAAGCTCTAGATCTATGGAATTCACTTTTCTAAATCTCCCTCTCCTTATTTTGATTGATGTTATTTTTATATTATGGCCATATTTTTCTTCGGAACACAAACCCATTATCACACATCCTAGTCCTCTTGTTGGGTTATTGCGTGCTTGCTTTGCACCTGAGATTCAGACATGGAAAAACTTACCTTAAGATATTAAACTTGAAAATGTAATGAAAGTGTTTCCATTTGAGTTATTATTCATAACTTATAGGATATTTCATTCATGTGGGTTTGTGATGAAATAGAGCTACAAAACCTCCTAGAACAGAAATACCCAGAAAAGAAAACCAATGTCATTGACGAAGAACAAAACAGATCTTAGGGCGTGTCTGGGATTGGTGATCAAGAAGAACCCTTGAACATGGAATCAGGAGAGAGAGGAGGAGAATCCAACTGGTAAAGGTTGAGTGACGGCCCCACAAACCGGAAAAATATCCACCCTCCGATGACGATGAAGATGGAGGCGTATGCAAACTTGTTGAGCCAAAATAGCAGGCCTTTCTCTCCCACGTAGAGCGCCATGGCCTTCTCAGCTACGTTCATGTCTTCCCACTTCTTCTGCACCGGAGCCTGCTCTGCCTTTGCAAGCCGTCTGTCACCCTTTTTGTCGTCCCTCTGTTGGTTCGAGCGCCTTCTCGACCGTCTCCTGAACCGCACCTCGACGGTTTCTGGGGGCGGCGTTATTTGTGGCCGCGGGAGGTTGTCACTCTCCGAGACGCTGGACTCATTAGCATTGTTGCTGCTGCTGCTGCTGCTGATGGGGCTGAATTTGAGTGGTGGGCGGTGGCGGGACGGTAAGAGTGTCGGATACTTGGCGGTGGTTGAATGCTTTGTGAGGGTTGTCGGTAATGGCGGTTTTGTGACAAGGGAATGGAGTTTGGCTTCCATTGGTTTTGGCTTTGTGATGCAGAGACTTGGAAGTGGATGGATGGATGGATGGATGGTTGTATTTGCTTGTTATCCATTTATATTCTCTCTCTCAACCATTGGTAGTTAATTAACGGACTTTACAACGATTTAATCCGCTAAACATATTGGGCTTGAACCCAAAATGGGCCCTTTTATCTCCATTTTGAAATGAGTTTAATATTGGAAGTAATTACATAAAATGCGTAGTTTTGAAGCTGTATTTATTAAGGTCACGTTACGTTTAATTCATAAGTTCAGAATAATTTATGATTCTAATGTTTAAAATTTAAATTTTTTTATGAAAAAAAAATAACATTATAATAGAACTACAAACTATAATTTTAATCCAGATAAAACTCTTAAAATAAACGTCACTTAAATATCAACTATTGTCTTCCTCTTTGTGGGAGATTTTTTCTTACCCATAGTTTCTTTTTAGGGTTGAGCAGAGTTGAGGGCTAAAGCTTGATTTTAGGGCTTGCGTTTTGGGCAAAATAATAGACCTTCGGTCTTCAAAAGGATTGTTTCCTTCCCTTTTTTCATCAAAGGAGACTTCTTTGGTTTAAGATAATTATATTTTCATTAAATGCTAATATAATTTAATATTCGGTGTTGATTATGGATGAAACGAAATTAGGAAATTGATTTTCTCTATATCTAGATCTATTTTCTTACTAATTTTATTCTTTAATCAAATTTTTCCTTTTTTCATTATACGAAGATATAATGGTCTTAATACATAAGAGATTTTTTGTAAATAAACAAGAAAACATGCATTTTTAAAAACAATACACTCATAATCGGTATTTATGTAAATTAATGGCTGAAAAAAAAGTTATTTTTTTTAGAATAAAAAAAAAGTTGAGAAAATCAGGGCTTTTGTGACTTATTTAATGGGTTTAAAGGGAGAGAGAAGAGGTAGAAGTTCAAAATGATTTTGTTTTTAATTTTTTTTTCAAATTATATAGTGGTCCCACTAAATAGTTAGCTAAACATAGTTAAACGGCACATCACCATTTCTTTAAACAAGAAAAGTCTACTTGTACTTCTTTTATGATGGGTGCAGATACACGATTTGACCGTGCACCATCAATTTCTCAGCCAATCCAATTGTAGTTAAACAAATTATTACATGACGTACCGGTAAATCTAAATATAGAGGCGCACGGGAGAAATTCCCAAAAAAACAACTCTAAAATCTGAATAGGGTTGTTAATATAGTCGAACACGGACTTAAAAGGATCACTTTATAGATATTGTCACAGGGCCAAAAGTTAACACCAAAACAAAGGCCTTGTGCGGCACTAATTACTCTACCTAGTCAGCCTACTCAAGTGTTTACCCATAATGATCCGATTAACAAGCACACAACCGAAGTACGGAAACTCGCTTCCAACCTTTTATTTAATCACAGAAAAGGAATACAACAATAGCTCTGCCTCACACTTGATCACCACAACACTTACTAGCACTCAAGGCTATTCTCTCATGAGTTTGGTGTCTCGAGGGCTTTGCTATTTATAGAGGTTACAAGGGACTACGTGGTTGACACCCCCAGACCACTAGGGATCACTAAAGTCACTTACTTGTACATGGATCAGCCAACTAGGCTATGATTCTGTCCACTTTCCTTCATACTCGGTCAACAGCTTGCGACGTGTTGCCACCTGTCCACCTGGGCGCCCCATCACTCAGTCGTGGCCCAAGTGTCCTCTTCAACACGTTATGGGGGTTAGCTAATCATGGCCACGTGTTGCCTTCCCACGAAGTGACCGTTGCCTTGGTGCTTCCTCAGCACCCATGTCTCCCATAAATCTCGGAACAACCTTGACTGAGGCTTATCCGCGCCTAAGCCTTCTTTCTTGCCCCTTGTCTGAGCCAATATGGCTCATCCACGTGGCTGCTGGTCTCTCGCCCTTGCATGCTGGTTTCTCGCCCATGCCATGCCACACTTCCGCCGCTCATTAGAAGTTTAGCCATGCCTTGGCTGGGCATGGCTTATGCGGGGGCTTGTACCCTCGCGCACAGGCCCGAGCTAGCTTACTGAGTGCTTACAAACCCACCCCCGCAAGATGAAGCCGACGTCCTCGTCAAGAGGGTTTCCAAGTATGCCTTCACCTGTTTCTCGAACTGCCACAAAGTAAGATCCTTTTCCCATGTTGCCTCGTCATCGCCTTCCTATTGTACAAGATAGTCGGTCCGCCGATTTTTCCTGCTTGTACCTTGGGTTCGATGGTCAAGAATCTTCACCATCTTTTTGTTGAACTCAGTTCTCACGACGGGAGGAGCTCTTTTTCCTTGTTACTGAGTCTCATCTTCATGATATGGTTTAAGGAAACTCACATGAAAGGTCAGATGTATCTTCATCCTTTCTGCCAGTTTCAGCTGGTAAGCCACGTTACTTATATGCTGCAAAACACAAAAGGGTCCATCATACCTTTGGCCCAAGCCCTTATGATACCGCCGGTCAGTCACCTTCTTCCAAATCTGTGGGGTTAGCTTCAACAGCACCATGTCCCCCTCCTTGAATTCTAAGGCTCACTGGTGTTGATAAGAATACTTCTTCATTCGTCTTTGCGCCTTTGCCAAACTGTCTCGCGCTTGCTTAATCAGCTCATGTTTGTCTCGAGCAAAGCAATATGCTGCTGGACACTCTCTTTGAGATTTTAGCTTGGCTAGCTCCAACAGCGTCAATGGTTGATAACCCAATGCGAGCTCTGAAGGGCTCAAACCCGTAGCAGAAGACTTGTGAAGGTTATAACAAAACTGGGCTACATCAAGTAAATCTGCCCAATTGCGCTGACTTGCTGTCACATAGTGTCGCAAGTACTCCTCTAGCAGCGCATTTATCCACTCCGTCTGACCATCGGTTTGCGGATGGTTGGCTGTAGAAAACATCAATTCTGAACCCATTAGTTTGAAAAGAAAAGTCCACAATTTACCAGTGAACCGAGTATCTCGATCGCTGACTATGTCCCGAGGCACGCCAAACACCTTCACCACGTGCTTGAAAAACAACTCAGTGGCCACACTCGCGGAACATGCATGGGGTGCCGCAATGAACACCGCATACTTTGAAAATCGATCGACCACCACCAAAATCGAACTTAATTCTTTCACTGTCGGAAATCCTACAATGAAGTCCATGAAAACTGATACCCATGGTCTTTTGGGGATTGGTAGGGGTTGAAGAAGTCCAGCTTGTTTCTTCCTCTCGGTCTTGTCTAGTTGACACATAAGACAAGTGCGAACATATAGCTCAATGTCTTTTTCCATCTTTGGCCAGAAATAGTGTCTCGACACTAAGGCTGTCATGCGTTCCACGCCCGGATGTCCAGCCCATTGTGGATCATGGGTCTCTTTCAATAGGTCTCGTCTTAGTCCCCCACCCTTAGGGACAAATAGTCTGCTTCCTCGAGCATACAGCAGACCATTCTTAATCTAATATTTCTGAACTAGTCCCTCCTGGACTTGTTGTTTCAGCTGACAATACGTAGTGTCTGCCTCTGCTGCCTGCCTGATCTTTTCCATAAAATCAGATTGCACAATGGTTAGAGAAGCCACGAAAGATTGTACCTCTTTTGACTGAGTGCATCTGCCACTCGATTTTCTCTGCCTGGTCTATACAACCAAGTGAAGTCGAATTCAGCGAGAAACTCCTACCAACGGGCTTGCTTGGGTGAGAGTTTCTTTTGAGACTTGAAGTACGTATTGGCCACATTGTCCGTCACAACAGTGAACTTGGTTCCCAGCAAGTAGTGTTTCCACACCTCCAAGCAATGTATCACGGCCACCATTTCTTTCTCGTGGGCAGAGTATCTCTGCTCGACGTCTTTCAATTTTCGGCTCTCATAGGCGATAGGGTGTCCTTCCTGCACCAACACCCCACCAATAGCTCTGTCGGACATATTTGTATGCACTTTAAAAGGCAACTCGAAATTAGGCAATCCCAACACAGGTTAAGAAGTCACTACAACCTTGATTCCTTTGAACGCTTCTTGGCAATCCACCATCCAAGCCCACTTCATGTCTTTTCTCAGCAAGTCGGTGAGAGGAGTCACTTTCTTTGAGTATCCTTCAATGAAGCGTCTGTAATAATTAACTAAGCCCAAGAACGATCGTAGCTCAGTCACCTTAGTCGGGCAGGCCATTCCACAATGGCTTCCGCTTGTCCATTCAAATTTGCCCTTGTCGGATTTTGTGCCCCAAGAACAAAATCTCCTGCATACAAAATTCACATTTCTCATTTTTGACGTACAATGAGTTCTCCCTTAATTTTGAGAATACCTTTCTCAAATGGTCTATATGCTGTACAAGGGACCCACTATACATTACAATGTCGTCCAAATACACAACAACAAAGCTATCCAGAAATTCGTATAAAACATCATTCATAAGGTTACAGAACGTAGCAGGGGCGTTAGTAAGACTGAAAGGCATCACTAGGAATTCAAATGAGCCATACCTAGTAACCATTGTTGTTTTTGCCTCATCTCCCTCGGCAACGCGGACTTGCCAATATCCCGAACGCAAGTCCAGTTTGGTGAAGTACAATGCCTTTGACAACCGGTCGAACAAGTCAGCTACGTTTGGCATGGGGTATTTGTATTTCACTGTAACCTTATTTAGTGCTCGATAATTACGCACATTCGAAGGGATTCGTCCTGCTTTTTCTGGAACAAAACAGGTGCACCATACGGAGCCTTCGATGGTTGCAAGTAGCCTGCTTCTAGTAACTCATCCAACTGCTTACGCAGTTTCGCCAACTTCCTGGGCACCATTCGGTAAAGGGCTCGAGTAGGGGGCCTTGCACCAGGCTCAAGATCAATCCGGTGATCAATATTTCTCCGTGGGGGCAATACCTTAGGTAATTATTGTGGCATTACGTCGCTGAACTCATGCAATACCACAGCGACATCATCAGGCACTTCTACAATTTGGTCTGGCTTGATCTCGACCGAGGCAGCAACCATGGTTGTCTCTCCCCATTTAAGTCCTGACTTTAGTTGGGAAGCCGATTGTAACAACAGCTTCTCGCTAA